TAGTCTTTAGCAGTGTTCAGGTTTTATTTTTGCTTGGAAAATGCTCCCAAAAACTCTACAAAAACAATTTTTTTTTTTTTTTTGCTTCTAAACGCTGATGCTTGACACATGGGATAACACTATTCGCTTCTAGGAGCAGAAAAAAAACACTAAACGCTACTAGACTGCTCCTAACTGCAAAAATACTAACGCTTCTGAATGCTACTAAAATCGCAGTTTTTTTTTTTTTTTAGTTTTTTTTTTTTGTTGCTTTTTTTAATCCGGCGTTTTCTGAGCTTAAAAAAAAATGCTAGTGTGGAGCCTCCATAGCATTTTTGTGCCAATTGTTAGGTTCTGAGTTTTTTTTTTTTTTTTTTTTTTTTTTTCTCCTAGAAGCTATTATGGAACAATTTATTTTCTGCTTATAGAAGCTAATAGTGTTATCCTATGTGTCCATGCACACTATTTTATGCTTGGAGCATTTTGCAAGCTTCAGCGTTTAGGTGCAGAAAAAAAATGAAAAGCCTAAAGTAGTATCCATGAACACATAGGCTATTTAGCTTCTAGGTGTAGAAAAAAGATGCTAACCGCTTCTAGGAGCTTAAAAAACCCTAGTGTGCATGGGGTCTTATGAGCGTTTTTTTCTGGCTTTTATTTGTAGCTTATTATAGTGTGCACGGAGCCTTAAATGCTGTACATATCATCTATATCTAGTCCTATAGATGGCTGTTTCTGTTTCTTGAGTACTCTCACTGTGTGCTATTGGCATAGTGACAGAGCTGTCATAGATGGGTCCCGGTCTCTAGTAATGATCGGGAACATTCAGGACCAGCTCCCAATCATGTGATCACTGTAACAGCCAATTGCAGTGGTCAGGTGACTGGGCATGCCTATGGCCACTGTTCCTGCTCTACCAGTCTACTGTAAACCTCAACAGTAAGCCATAAGAGGTCACACAATTACAGGGGCGGACTGACAACTCATGGGGCCCCCTGTGTCCTTGCCCACACTCAAAGCACACCCAAAAAAGCCTATAAAAAGGTAACGGGCATTTCATGGGGCCTCCTACTGACCCCGGGCAGTGCTTGAATGGTCAGTCTGCCCCTGCACAGTTAGGATTATCTGTGGGCTGAGAACAGGTGAGTTTGTGGCTTGTCAGGGATGCCAGGTTAGGACATTGGGGCCCACTGAGGATAAGGACCGTAATGGTACAGGTACTGTTTTAAAGTGCATGTTCCATTACTACAAGTCAGGATTATGGCAGTTGAAAGGAATAATCAAAGTGCACCTTGACTTTCCTCCCTATGGTCCCTGTTGTCCAAGGACCAACTTTGCAGCATTCTTGTTAACTATTTGTTATATATTAGACTTTACATATGTTGTACTTTTCAGTGATTCAGTTTTATGTAACTCCAGTACCCAGACTAATCACAATTCTTTTCATAAAAAATAAATATGTATACACCTATAGTAAACAGTTGGGTTGTTATTTCTCTTCTTATTCAAACATATTGTTACAGTATATATTCGGTCTAACAACTGAACTTATTTCCTTGCAGCCACCAATCCGATTCATACTCTTTTATAGCAGAGAAAATCTGATGATAAATAGGGTTTTCAATTAGGAAGAAGTTTCTTTGGGGCATCAAAAGTATGACCAAAGTGGTACAAAAAACTAAAAGACCTGTGCAAGTTTTATATATATATTTCAAATATCTGCTTTTAAATTTGTGACATGCATCCATTCAAATGTATGCATGTGCTTGCTTGAAAACTGCCACAACATGTTAGTGTTCTTTTTAAAGGATAAGTGTGTGTGTATGTGTGTGGATTTTGCAGTTCTGGGTAGGGGGCGCGTACGTACACCCTACTTGCGCCACCATTCGTGGCCTTGGCTGTCAATGGCCAGGTCCCAGCCAGTGATTACTCGACGGCACCCAGGGATCACTGAGCATCTCTGATGGGGAAGAGACCTGTGTATAAACAACACAGATCTCTCCCGTCAGCTCCTGCACACTTTGTATGGCTGTGCATAACACAGCCATACAAAGCAGTGTGCTTACAGTAAAGCACACACAGAGCCCACATGACTGTCATATGCCTTTTTAAGTGTTCTTTGTATTTTGTGTCTGCTCCTCTTTCCTTTGGTTTAGTTCATGCTGTATAGATAGCTCCACCCTTTTTTATTAATTTCCCAGTAATCCATTTCAGCTTCTAGCCTAATGTCTTATGGAAGTGATCACATTATGGAAGTGATCACATTATGATCTTTTGACCTATCTGATGTTCATTGTTGTAAGATTCTCTCAGTTTATGGAATAAACTTCACAAGATCTACAAGGTGTCGTCTGGATCGAGTCACGGCCTGTGTTATTCAACTAAGATTGGAGTTACTGCTCTCTCATCACAACTGTAAGTTACAGAGATCACGCTTTCAATGCTTAAATTGGAGAGACAGAACACTGATCGCCATTACTACTAAAAAAAAATTAAATATAAAATTCCAGTGTGTGTGTGTGTGTATGTGTGTATGTATATGTATGTGTATATATGTATATATATATATATATATATATATATATATATATATATATATATATGTGTGTGTGTATATATATATATATATATATATATATATATATATATATAGCCATTTGTAAATGCTATAACTTTCACGTATACCAATTAATTTACACTTTTTCTAGCAAAGACGTAGTAGAATAGAGTTTGGCCTAAATTTATGACTAAATTTGATTTTTTTTTTTAATCTTTACTGGACATGTTTAACTGCATCCCGCCATATAGTAATATGACAGACACAAGGTGGTTCTCTTGTTCTGGGAGGACGTCATATGACGTCCTCCCATTCTAACCGTGCATGCACGGCTCCGGAAGATGTCGGCTCGGTCATGTGATCAGCTGTGTCCAGTCACAGCTGATCACATGTAAACAGGGAAATGCCGGTTATCAGCATTTCTCTCCTCTCGGGCTGTCATGCTGACAGCTCGAGAGGAGAGCCGGTAAATCGGCATTCCGCGGAGGGGACATGTACACTGATCATTAGAGCACTGATGATCTGTGTAGCCCCCAGCAGCACCACCTGTCAGTGTCCAGTGCCAGCTCTCAGTGCTCATCCATGCCACCTGTCAGTGCCACATTTCAGTGCCCATCTGAGCTGCCAGTCAGTGCTGCCAGTCAGTGCCACCTATCAGTGTCCATCAGTGCCCACCACTGCAGCCTCATTAGCGCACATCAGTGAAGGAGAAAAATCACTTATTTGCAAAATGTTATACCAAAAACAAACTTTTTTTTTTTTTTTTTTTAATTTTCAGTGGTTTTTGGTTTAAGAAAAAAATAAACCCAGAGGTGATTAAATACCACCAAAATAAATAAAGCTCTGTCACAAAAGATAAAAATTTCATATGGGTACAGTGTTGCATGACTGCGTAATTGTCATTCGAAGTGGAACAGCGCTGAAAGCTGGAAATTGGCCTGGGCAGGAAGGGGGTATAAGTGCCCTGTAGGCTAGTGGTTAATAGCAAAATGTCAAATACAATTTTTTTTTTTTTTTCTTAAAATTGACTTTTTTTTTTTTTGTTTATAGCACAAAAAATAAAAACTGCACAGGCAAACAGCTCTATTTGTGAGGGGGAAAAAAGGACGTAAATTTCATTTGGGTGCAGTGTTGCATGACCGCACAATTGTCAGTTAAAATAACGCAGCGCCGTATTGCAAAAATGGCCTGGTTGGGAAAGGGGGTAAATCCTCTGGAGGGCAAGTGGTTAAACACAAGAGGTCCTGTTTTATTGTATGTTAGCATTATTTAATGTTTGTACAATGATCTGCTTCTGTGGCTTTCTCTATCCCTACATTTGAGAGGTGGTAATACTGTCAAGCCTAGTTTGGGGAGTCCTGATCCCCGTCTGGCATGCCTTTTGGGAGTCATGCTTGTAACTGTCAGCCTTGAAATTCATCACAAGACTTGTAGTTCTGCAATAGCTGAAGGGCTGCAGTTTGACACCCCTGCTTTAGGGTCATAAATCTCTGGTGAGTCTCTACTTGCAAGGGGTGTGTGGCACTATAACATATTTGTGCACTGGAACAGTTTCTTTTTCTGGTTAGCGTGAGATCACTTTGTATGGATGTGGAGCATGTATACAACTAAGGGAGCATTATAACACGTTGAGACCGTTTTTGAAGCAAGCACATGCATACATTTTTGAGTGGATGCATGGCATGAATTTAATGCAGATGTCTGAATATTTGTTATATGTATTTGTGCACAGGTCTTTAGTGTGTTAGGTTTTTCCCCATACCGCTGCTTATCACTTTGGTTCTACATTCATCAAGGTGTACATACATTGGGTAACACATATTGAGCAGCTTGCTGGGGAGTAATCTGTTTACATGTGTGGCGCTAGTAAAACTATATATACCGTATCTAGGTATCAAAGGTGCATAATATGACCAATGTTAATTGTTGTATGCGCTGTAACATGTACTCCTCTGCTGTATTTCAGAGCTGTTTCCAAGTACTTTCTGCAGGACATGGGGATCTGCTGGAAATTCTAGAGAACAAGTTTGACCAGATCTTCTTCATAGGTGGTGGTCTCTTCTTCTTTTTTTTTTTTTTTTTTTTTTACGTTATTGATTTAGGACATACAGGAGAGCCAAACATCCTCCATCTTGACACTACCTGAACATGACTGGTGATGCCAGGGTGTTTTAGGGCTGAAATACCCTTTTAAAGTTAGCTTATTGACTTGCTAATTATTAATCTCTTAAAGTATAGTTTTTATTTTAGAAATATTACAGTTTAAACATATTTTTAAGATGATAGAAGTTTTCTACAGTACATCAGAAAAGATGATTACCTTTTTAAAGCATACATAGTGAAAACCTGTTAGAGCCAAACAGCATGTGCCTCAGAGCAACCCTGTACTTGGCCCCTGATTATGTGCTGCAATAGTAAATGTAATGTCCTCTGTGTTCCAGGTGACCGATTGACGGGCAGACAGGTGATGCAGGCAGCAGCCAAACACATTACACCCGTGTCTGTAATTCTTGGAGGAAAAAATCCCTGCTATGTGGACAAGTCATGTGATCTTACTACGACTGCTCATAGGATTGCATGGGCTCGATTTGTGAATGCTGGTCAAAATTCTCTGGCTCCAGAATATGTTCTGTGTCATCCAGGCTTAAGGGAGATTCTGGTCCGGGAACTTGAATTGTGTGTCCATGAATTTTATGGCAGGAACCCACAAGAGTCTGAGCATTATGGGCGCATAGCAAGTGTTGAACACTATAAAGAAGTTAAAGATTTTCTGTCCTGTGGCACAGTGGCATTTGGGGGGCAGACTGATGATCGTGAACGCTTCATAGGTATTCTTATATATTATACAGGATTTATATAGCACCAACAGTTTGCACAGCGCTTTACAAATTGAAGGTAGACATTACAGTTGCAATATAATCTGGTACAAGAGGAAACAGAGGGCCCTGCTCGTTAGAGTTTACAATCTAGGAGATGTAAAACAATGATGCAAATAGGAAAATTAGACAATCATTTTGTAGAGTAATATAATTTTGAATAACTTTTGAAATTCTCACTTTCTCATCAGTGTTTGTAGGGTTCTAATTCTCCACACTATGCTTATGAATTTAGTCAAAAGTGAAGGCTACCAGAAGAAAGATATCAAAACATTCTGATTATGCCTTACATGTTTATGCAGCTTAAACAAGGCCAATCACAAAAGACATTTTTTAGGAATCTTAGGGGAAGATTTACTAAAACTGGTGCAGCTGTGCATGGTAGCCAATCGGCTCTTAACTTCAGATTAGGCTTTGACAATAAAACCTGGAAGCTGATTGATAAATCTGGTGCAGCTCTGCATAGAAACCACTTTCCGGTTTTAACAAAATCTCCCCACATACCTCCCCCCTTTAACACACACTCAAACCCGACTTCATTAAGATTTAAAAGTCGGGTGACATGCCGATTTCAGGTGCGATTTGCAAGACATCTGAGACAGATGTCCATGCAAATCACACCAAAAGCAGTGCATGTACTACTTCAGAAATTTGTGTGGCTCCATCTAAGTCGGAACCCCACCAATATGAGCACTCTTGCAGACAATAGGGTGCAACTTGGCATGTGATTAGTAAGTCACATGGCATGCAAATCACATCCAGTGTGACCAGGAACTAAAGAGATCATGTCACCAACTTTAAAAAAAAAAAATGCAGAAAAATAAAGTATTCTAAATGCTTACTTGCAGCAATTTTTCCTTTCAATAACTTGCAAATTTTAGTAAATCAGTAAATTTGATTAGTCCGTTGCCAAGCACAGCTCTATCCCTCCATGTATGCTTCTACCTCCAATGGCCCTATCTTCTAGGAGTATCCAGGATCAGCTCCTTTTTTTAAAAAAAAAAAAAAAAAAGAAAAGATCAGAAGTCGAGAATGACCGTGAAGCAATGAATATAGAAATTGTACACAAGACAGAACATTTGCCTACGTAGGCAAAGAATTTTCGTACACGTTAATACCATGGTCGGTTACAACATGATATCCTCCTTCATGGATCATCAGACGATCGATCATCCTATTTTCTTATAGTGTGTACTAGGCTTAAGAATCTAACATTTTGATATACTGGTTCAAGGGAACCATCAGCTGAAAACACTTGCGAAAGTTTGAAAAGAATGAAATGACATTTTAGAAATAAGCTGGCATTCTGTTCATTGACCTGCTTGTTGTCCATGCTAGTAGTAATGTTTTACTTTTCTAGTTAACATTTTACAATTGACTGGAATGGGGGGCTAATTATACCAGAAAGCAGTAATTTTTTTTTTTTCTTTTTTTGGTCTTACGAAGTGCCCACTGTATCTCTATGCAGAGAACTTCTGATTGGAGCAGAGACCAGTCACATGACTGACAGGTCACGTGGCCAGGTTATCTTCCTCCTATATATTTTTTGTTTATTTTAATTCACTGAAATGTCTAGTTTTTTTCCTTTCATTGTATTTCCATACGTGGGATTAAAGGCTACGTGTTTAGATAAAATGCTTGTTTTTAGCCCCTACAGTGCTGATTGACGTGAAAGAAACTGATGCCATTATGCAGCAAGAAATTTTGGGGCCAGTGCTGCCAATCTTAACTGTACAAACACTGGAAGAAGCTATACAGTTTATGAACAGGAAAGACAGACCTTTAGCAGTCTACGTCTATTCTAATAGCCAAAAGGTACTTTGTTTTTTTTGTTAATTTTTATTTTTTTTTTTTTTTTTTCCCCTCTCAGCAAAGTTTTTAGTCTAATTTCTCAAACATTTTATGGAAAAGTAGGTTTTGACTTTCATATCTTTTATAAGCCAGCCATATCATTCTCCTGATTAAATAGAACTTGTTTTGTAGCTTCTCCTTCTAATGACTACCTGTATGCTACATAATGAAATACGCAGCCTTGCTGAAGAGCTGCTGAATGTTATTCAATTACACTGCTGCTGTGGTTTTTTTTTTTTTTTTTTTTTTTTTTCGTCTGAAAAATTCAGATACGACTTTGTCCAAAGACATATACCTCCACAGTCCAAGTACGCCAAAACTCCTTTCTATGATCAACTCCTCTACGTTCAAAAATCCACACGCGCCAAAACATGCAAACAAGCTAGCCTCAATGTAGCTAAAGTAAAGAACCAAAAATCAGTGAAAGGGAAATAACTCAGTCAGTGGGAACAGGGGCGTATTTGCCACGAGGCAAACAAGGCATTTTTCAGGGGGGTGCCATGCCCACTCCCTTTCCCTTCCAAAATTTATGGCCATCCAACATTAATTAGCATTAAACCTTTTGCTTGACAACACAACTAACCACCTTGAAAGCCTGGAAGAGGACTGGAGTAAAATTTATGAAGTCAAATTCCCATATGAACACCATTTTAATACACAAAAGGTTATCTAACATCCTCAGCCTTATGCATCAAAAATTCCTCAATCTGGGGCCTTTTACAATATTCGTTGCCAACCCGCAACCCCAAGAGTCTGACTTTTCTATATACAGCAGTTTTACCAAGCACACTGGACTGCCCAGGAGGACAAGGTCACTTTTTCTGACTGTTTATTTGTCTAATGCAGGGGTCTCCAAACTTTGGGCCGATTTACTGGCCTTCAGTCTTTAGGGGGGCTGGACTGTGGCCAACGGGAATACAAAACGTCCCAGTATTAGTGGGAGTAAACCATCCCCTATCATTGTGTGATAGTGGGAAGAATTGTGCCGCCTCATTGGTGTCATTGAGAGGTAGTGTGCCTCATCATTTGTGTCATTGGGCCGCATTGTTGGTGTCGTTGGGGGAAATATGCCCCATCATTTTATCTCATTGGTAGGAATTTGTCCGTTGTTGGTGTCATTAGGAGGAATTATGCCTTTCATTGGTGTCAGTGAATTAAATAGTGTCCCAAGGGCCAGATAAAAGCAAGTAAAGGGCCAAATTCGACCTCTGGGCCACAGTTTGGAGACCGCTGGTCTAATGTATAAATGAAAGGCAGCACACCAAACTGCTTAGTGCTTAACCAATTACTTGTATTTATACAAAAATAATACAGTTCACAGCATACACCAGCAGGGCCTGGTCAAATTTTGATCAGTGTGTGGGTTTCTCCTCTCAACAGAAGTAGATTGATAAATTTCCTCATGTCTCTTCCACAGAAACCGTATAATCAATCAGCAACTGCAGCTAGTAAGTTGCAGCCGCTGACCAGTGAATTCTGACAACAGTGAGTGCTGCTGTTACAATAGTTTTCAGTGGGAGGGATTCCTCTGTCCATTTTGTATTGTCAGTATTTTCTTATGTCTAGTTTCATGGTATTTATTGTGATCTCTGTTTTGGTGTGCTGCTTTTCATTTACACCTTTTACTATATTGGGTTTATGTAGAAAATCTATTTTGTGTTTTTTTTTTTTTTTTTTTTTGGTTTGTTTTTTTGCCCTGTACTTTGCTATTCTGTTTCCAGAGACCAGACAAACTTTGCCTGTTGATGCTGCCACATATTCACGTTTCTGGGTCCCAGACCCATGTCAAGCAACACTGTACATAAATTATATTTATTTTTTTTCCCCCCACAAATGGAGCTTTCTCTCGGTAGTATTTTCTGTGCGTTTCTTTATTTTTTGCACTATAAACAAAAAAAAAATCTAGAATTAAAACAACAAACTTTTTTTTACTTTATGCTATTAAAAATGTGCAGTAAAAAGTTTTTAAAAATCATATTTCATCATAAATTTAGGCCAAAATGTATTCTGCTACATGTCTTTTGCTAAAAAAAAAAAAAAACCCAATACGTGTAAATTAATTGGTTTGCGTGAGTTTTTTTTATAGTGCCTACAAATTGCGGTATAGATACTGTAATTTTATTTATTTTTTTTTAATGCTAGTAATGGCAGCAATCAGCGACTTATAGCAGGACTGTGGCGGGCATTCTGACACTGGTAGGGAACTGACTGACACTAATAGTGATTACAGTGATCAGTACTAATAAAAAGCACTCACTGTATTAATGACACTGGGCAGGAAGGGTTTAACATCTGGGGCGATCAAAGGGTTAACTGTTTTTACTAGGAAAACATTCTGCTGTGAAGAGAAATACACAGCAGCATGTTATTGCTGGCAGGAGAGAAACCTGTGTTTATTTACACACCGGTCTCTCCCCTGTCACTGTTTCTCGGTGATCTCGGGTGCTGGCGGGGAATCTCCGGTCAGGACCTGCTGATTGACAGCTGTAGATGCCAATGGCTGTGTGGTTAGGGCGGCGTGTTCGCCCCCTACCCGGAAATGCAAATCACATATATGTGATTTTGCTCAGCCCTGCCGCCCTCTAGCAGTACTTCTGCTATAGGGCAGAGGGGAAGTGGTTAAAGTAACCACTACTTTGCCAATTTACCCAGATAATTTATGGGTATGGAGGAGCATGTAACCTTTTTCCCAACATGCCAAAGTGCTTGGTGCCTTAGCTGCCAAATGCCAGGCCTGAGCACGGGTACTTGGGTTATCAGCCTTGTGTAAGTTCCATTGGTAAGTGGTTTTTTTTTTTTTTTTTTTTTTTAGTACAAAAAGTATACATATTGCACCATTCTGACACTAAAAAATACAAACCTTAAAATTAAAAAAAAAAAAAAAAAAAGCAATGTGCAGTTTTTGCAGAATGCAAAATAGACATCCTCTCACACACAGTCATACATGTGGCCAACCCCTCTCCCCCACAGCAGATAGTACTACAAGCATAGAGCAATATAGTATAGCATAAACAGTACAAAAACATGCTGAAGATGAAAAACGAAAAAAATTAGCAGAGGCAGTCGCACCTAATAATTAAGGCTCCAAAATATTATTGAATTTATTTGGACAAGCCCTGGCTTCATAAATTAGCTTGTACTTGGGCATAGCTCCATCCATCAAAGCTAAGAACATTTTGTTAGTGGATGCAACTTAATACATTTTAGTTGTAAAGATGCTAGCATTGTGCCGGATGCTCCTGCCTTCCCTCTGTGTACCATTATTTGTTTGCTTCTGAAACGATCAGTCTGTCTTTCTTGTTTTAAGGTCATTGCAGAAGTCCTGCAGAAAACCTCTAGTGGAAGCTTCTGCTCAAATGACAACATGATTCAATGTCTGTACACAAGGTTGCCATGTGGTGGGATAGGTTTGTATGTTTCTGCACTATTATGACAAGACACTTTTTAGATGAACAGGATAAAGATTTTCTTCTGCTCATGGAATAATTTATGGTCCTGTAAAATGAGGGTGTGAGGTGTAGAGATTTTCGTGGAACAATTTTTATTTTGTCTGCTGACATGATATATTTGTAGCAGTAGTTGCCAAACCCCTCTGAGGATTTTTTCAGTAGTAACATAAATCCTAAACAAATACTATTTGCACAATGGACGCCTATCAAGGCTGGAGGGAAATCCTGGCAAAGGCTATTTAGAAAATGTATAATTTCACGGCTTTGAATTTTTGTCAGTTTTTACAAAAAGTTTAGCTGCACTTTAAATGGCATATTTGAAGGTGTCTAAATCCAAGAACTAAAGGCATAGTATACTGGATCTTATCAGCCCATAGAGGTGGTGGCTGCATTTGTTTTTATTTTTTTAGGCTATGTACATTTTTCTGCAAATACAGAAAAATTCCTGTTTGATGTTGCCCTATATTGGGTGTCCTTGTAACTTTCCTGTGAAGTAAATTGAAATCTCAAACAATGTTTTGTATCAGCCAACTAGTTTCTCTGTAAACTACAACACAATGTCCCTTGATGTAATAGAGATGGAGAGGAGGAGGCATTTGTCGGCCAAATCCAAAAAGCAGTCTAGGGTGAGAACACCGCTTCCCCCATAGGTATATTGCAGCGAGTGAACGTTGTCGCTATAGGGACCGGACGTGTTAATAGTAGGATCACTGAGTAGGGGGGAAATGCCTGAATAAACAAACGTCTTCAGGGGCCACCACATCCAAGGAGTGGTACCCTGCTACATATTAAATGTTTTGGGGTTTAGATATGCTTTAATTTTTCATTGTGTAGCCCCCTCTTGGGTAGCTAGGGGGAGCTGGACTCAAATTGTTAAACAGGGGCTGAGTAGCAGGCCAGGTGCAATAGTCAGGGGGAGGTTAAATTTGGGTCAGAGCTGAGAGGCTCTGCAGGCTAGCTCTCTGAGACTTCCCCCTGCCCTAGAAATTAGGAGAGAGGTTCTAGAAGCAGTGGGCGGAGGTGAGGAGTGGCTGGTCTGCACGCTTGAGGGATCCTGACCAAGTCCCAACAGGAGGCTTGGCATGGGGTCAGGACTGTCCTTAAAAGCGACAGAGCCCTGCTCAGCTGCAGGAGAGTTCGGGTGAAAGTTGGAAAGCAGGAGTCCAGACTGAGAGGGGTTCAGCTATAGGCAGAGGACCTTGGAAGGAGAAAAGCTCGGGACTTCACCGCCCCCCTGAGAGAGGACCACCTGTAGGGCAGGGAAGGAGCGGCCCAGCTAAAAGGCCTGGTAACAGCCACCAACAGCACAGGAGAAGGACTGAGTGAGTAGATCTGCACCCCCTGAGCCAGATAGGGGAAGGAAGCACTCTGGTGGAAAACCAAATTAGCAATCACCAGGGACCGTCTTATCTCAGGCGACAGAAACTGGATCCCCTGCTCAGAGATTCCTCCAGGCAGCTGGATCGAGAAATATCTAAAGTCTGGGCTGGTACAACATGAGATGCTGGCAAGCTATCCATGAAGAGTATTTTTGTGTAGATACTTGTACATAGTTCAGGAAGTTGTCCTTGGTTTCTCAGTTTCCTTGGGCATCCCGTACACCCCTGGTCCCATCCAAGTTCTAATCCCCTAATAAAACTTCAAAACAAGCTCAAGGTCCAGTCACTGATTCCTGAATGCAAGTGGATGTGAAAATGCGTGTTGCCGCAATTTGTTGCTCAGGCCACTAGCACTGTCACAAAGGGGGCAGGAAAATCCTCTGTAAACTCACTACTTTCAGTTTTATAAGGCTTGAGCAGCAGGGGAAAATGGGAAGGAGGTAAGTGCAGCTAGTGTGGCTGGTTTTGGAGTGAACCTGTTGCTGTGCACTGCATGGAGCACTGGTTCACTTTAGCAAACCTCTCTGTAGATTTAGGGCTAACCTTCATTACATCGATTGCCTTTCTCTTCTAGCTTTGACATGTCTCTTCTTGTTCAGGGAACAGCGGAGTAGGAATCTATGGTGGCAAGTTCAGCTTTGATACCTTCTCACATAGTCGTGCCTGCCTGCTGCGCAACACTGCGGTCGAGTGCGTTACTTATCTCCGATACCCTCCCTATGCTGAGAAACAGCTTCATCTCATGCAATGGGCCAGCTCACTTTCCAGAACTAACAGATGGTGCAACATTTTGTAAGAACAAAGAAGAATATGAACACTTTTACTTAACACAAACCTAATTGTAATTACATTCAGTGTCTTGTGCAGGCATGTGGATGTATGAATGATTTTTTTTGTGTGGTTGTTTTTTTTTTTTTTTTTTTTTGTCCAGATGTCACATGTGCACATTTTTTGTTTCAGCAATATCTGGGAAGACTGATTTTAGGAACTTTGGGCCAAAATTGGTATTATACATAGACCTAGTTCTTGGGAAATGGAAAATCCAAAAGAATGTAAGGCACAGATATTTCCCTGTTTGGATTCAATGTTCTCACTTTCTCTTACTGTATGGCTTTACATATATTTGTCACTGGCATTTTTTTTTTTTATTTTAAACCAAACATGTACTTGGCTTTTAAAAGGCGAGGACTGTTCTAGCACCTGAGATGCTTACATCCAATATTTATATTTCTGTATACAGGTCTAATAAAAAAAATACATATATACACATTTTTTTTTTTTCCAATTAAACTCATTAAAAAATGTGCATTTATGTCTTTCCTGATTTGCATAGAGATCACCTTAAAGCTAAATACAAGCACACCATTTTTTAAGAAAAATAGCAACAAAATTAGATGCAAATTGGACTGCCTGTCAAGAAATTCTATGCAACCATTTTGTATATTTGAGACACCCAGCCCCATCCTCCCCCTGGCATTTGGAATCTTGGGTAGCAAACTGAGGTGCTTTTATAGAGATTACCACAGGAGATGAGACAGATTTTCACTCAAAACTGCCGTACAATTAAGCGCTGGTCACGGTTTGTTGCAGTGCTACTTCACAGCAGCCGAGGAAGGAATGAAATAAATTGAAGGGATAAAAAAAATTATTGTAAATCTGTCTTGCTGCTCTAGTTCCCCATGGAAATGTGTGAGTGCACAATAAAAAGCTTCTCGTAGGTGTTTTCGAGGTGTACTATCACCCTATTTGTGTGTGTGTGGGTTTTTTTTTTTTAATGCATTTTGAAAGGATGTCTCCAATACCCTACCCTCAGAAGACTATTTTTTTTTTTTTTGCATATCACTGATGAAACCTACATCAAATTTTAAAGTTTGCTAAAGGCCTCCCAAGCCATATACTACAAGTTTTTTTTTTTTTTTTTTTCATTCATTGAGGGACACAGGAAGTCCATCCTATGTCAATATAACCTTTTGTGTTATACTACTGTCTGCAGGTGGTGTGGGCAAATGTAGGCCAGTCCAAGGTATACCTCTCATAATACCACCATGTTTTTTGATTGTGTCCAAGAAGAATGGAAATGTTTTCTTCCTCCGAGCTGTGCTAAAGACTAGCAGAATTTATTTTTTTTTTTCCACTTTTTTTTTTTTTTTCTCTGTTCAATTAAGACACTTCTGTGTACTGTTGCTGGAGTTATCCCTCAGACTTGCAGCTTTCTGGTGTGGTTACCTCACCCTGGCTGTGGATTGTTCTGTATCTGGACCCTGCAGCCCTGGATGTTACAGGGTTAGCCAAAGTGACTTTCAGGCACTGTGGTTCTGCATGGGGAGCACTTCAGACTCAATTATGGTTAAGTTAACTATGAAGTGCTTTCCAATCCCAGAGCTCCATTCTTTCTGTGCTTGCCGTGACCCGTCTAATGAGTAGGCTGGTCAGGCTGTGCACTGGGAGCTCCTTCATGTTTGTTGGTTGGTGGGTGTTGTCAACCCCTTCCATGGCAAAGGTGGTATAACACTGTAGGGAGTGCTAGTGTCATCCATTTGGTGTGTTGCTCATATTTGATGTTCTTTGCTACCATACAGCATCCAGGAAACGTTCCTCCTGCTTGCAAAGAGCAGTATACAACCTTTTTTTTTGGGATCTGTTCCTCCTCCTTGCCTACAGTGATTTTGGTCACCTCTGGTTATTGAACCTACACCTTCCAGCTGCCTAGGTTTTGTGGGTACGGAAGCTCTGCCTCTTACCCTGAGCCTCTATCTTGCCTAACACCACGGACACAACATGCTTGATTCTAGACGCAGGACATTTTTTTTTACTAATGGCTCAGGGCTGCTTGTTGCTAGTCTATTGATGGTGCTGATGTCGAGCAACAGAGAACAGCATGACTCAAGGTTGCAGAGTATTTTCATTCTTTGGAGTCCTCCTTGGTTCTGTTGGGTGTAGCTTGTCCTCTGTCCTTTCAGCCAAGGTCTTTAGCACAGTAATACAGGACTTTATGACCCAAACTAACCAATTGTGTATGGATTCTGGTTGCAGAGGTCACAAGCGCTCTCCCACAAATTCTGTAGCAGATTCTGTACCCGACTTGCCGTGGCCTTAGCGGCTTCTATGCCATCATCTGCAAAGAGAAATCTAGAGTTGCTCAAATCCTTGCCTTAACCCTGAGGTGTTGCAGTTAACTATTAATCCCATAGAGATCATTGCAGCTCTTACAGATGCAGTGTGCACTACTCCTGAAACCAGAGAACCAACTTCGTTGCTAGCCTTGGATCATTTAAGACTAAGGATGCAAAGCCTTTTATGACTTTGCACCCTCTTTTCCAACTGTTGTTTGCTCTCTAAATACTTTCTGTATTTCTATCTGTTTTTTTGTGAGGATTTTGTTTAAATGATACTCTCTCTGGATCTGGCCATGTTTCACCTTAACTAGAAAACTACCATACCACTGAAGGATGAACCTGCTCACAAAGACCCAAGTAATAAGCAGTTGGAATCCAGAGCTGTTTTTGATGGCAGGTCCTGCCCTGCAAATGCCTATGGCTGAAAGAATACATTTACCTTTTAATTTAAAAAAAAAATAAATGTACATTTGTTTTTTTTTTTTTTCATGAAAAAAGTGCATTTTACTAGTTGTTTTTTTTTTTTTTTTTTAAATCTTAGGGGCCTGTAAATCTTTGCACCTGTGATCAGCAGATCGTGGATGCAATGTCAGGCTCTTGCAGACTGTAGGGGTAGCTGTCTGCCTGTACCTCCAATACGAGCAGGCAGTTAGTTCAGGCCAAGGAGCTCAATGAACTACAAGAGCACACAATAGCCCCCTCGCAGCTCATTTAGAATTACACGCCTTTGCGGTTTATGATGATGATATTTGTAGGCATTTATTCACAGGAGAAGATCCCTGGTCTGCTGTGACAGAGGGAGGGGGCTGCAGGAGCAGGGACAATGTTAAATGTTTCACTCTAAAAATGGGTGGAACATATATGTTCCCAAAGGTGAACTTATCTTTGAGAATGTACTTTGTCAATCCATGCCTAACAGGTTAAAATATCATTCAGGTTATAACCACCACTGCTGATCCCTTGCTCAACTTTGATGGTTTACTAGAAGCTTTATGCATAGGTTTGGGGCACTTTGGCTAAAGTGATGGACTGTGGAGGTCCCTTGCAAGAAGCATTTGATCTCCATGGCCTTCCAGAGACAATGTTCTTTAAACCAGCTCTTCATAATACAAAGCTAAACAGGGGATGAAGCGGCCCTTAATTTCTCCACCCATCAGCTTCAACTCCAAACTTGACTTCTTTTCCACCAACATATCCTTTGAAGATTTTGTAGATCTGAAATTAGACCAGCCTTCTTCCACATAAAGGTATGCCCCCACTTTCCTAGGGGTAGGGGAAGTCTGAACTTCTTGGGCAGTTGGATGGCTTGCATTCCATTTGTCTGGGTACTCAAAATGGTTTTTCTCCCGACTTGTTTACTGTGCCCAAGCACAAAGATGGTATTTGCCCTATCTTGAAGAACATGGAAATACTAAGGGGTTGATTTATTAAAACTGGAGAGTGCAAAATCTGCTGCTGCTTGTGATGTGTTGCCTGACCCCCTCCCCTTCTCACCAACTCATTACAAAGGACTGGCCAATCTCACACTGCGCTGTCACCTGTGTAACATTACCTCTCTCAGGTGCACTCTGCACAGAGTTTTTCCAGCTCACAGGACCACAATCTAGGTTGTTACTAAGCAATTAACTCTTTAAGCTACCACCATTGCCTTTTGACTGAGAGGGTAAACTAATATGCTTAGCAATAACAAATATGAAAAATAAATGTCTGTACACACGCTGTCACCACAGACTGGTATATTCAGAGATTTGTCATGTACAGTAGCACTCTTCAAGAGACAGGGATTCTTTAGTTTGCATTAGAAGTCTTGGGGACAGTTTAACACTTTTAAAAATAGAATTTAAAAAGGAAAAGGTCAAAATGGTGCATATGAAATATTTACAGAAAGAAAGGGTGTTCCAAAAAAAAATAAAGAAACCATAAAACAGAGAATTAACCTCCCTAGTGGTCTGATTATGTCCATATTTCTGTGCTCAAAGCGGTACATTTTTTTTTTTGCATGGAAAATGTATTTTTTTTATGTAGGCCTGTAATTAAAAAAAATACATAACTCACTGAAATCTGTGCGAACAAGAGTAAACATCCCAGGTAGGATAAAACTTGAAACCCGAAATCATAATTTAATAATCGTTAAAAATATATAGTAAAAATACATTTAATTCAATAATATAATCAAACCAAAAACACTGATGTTTGAAATATAGCGCCAAGTTTGCACATCACTGAGCAAAGTCGCAAAATCGTTTTCAGTTTCTGATGAATTTCCCCACAAATCATCGCTCAATTCTGCAAGTGGTTCTGATTTACTATCGCTGCTCTCTAGCTGGTCTAAAACCACTTTTGACCTAAAGGGACGCTTTTTGGATGCCATGGACTTTTCTAAGTTTCCAGGCAGAAAGAACAGTCAAAATGCAAGCAGGGCACAGGACAAAGCACTAAGGACAAAATGTATGTGAAATGGTTTGATACAGTAATGTTTTACTATGTGATTTTTAGTGAATGTCACTTTTTGTCATTTTCAAATTTCCCACCGTTCCGTCCCCCATATGTCCCGACACTCGCAGGGGACGGAACCCAGATGACAGATGACAGCATCTGCCGGATTACATTGCCGGGGACACTGCAGGAGGGACATCGCGGGAGTGCAGGACAAGGTAAGTGATCGAGGGGATCATGGAGC